GGGAGTTCAAATGCTGGAACTGTCTCCCTTCCCAACACTCTGTTCAACACAAGCATTGATGACAATGTGTTGGCTCTTTCTTTCAAAACTGATGTCGCCACCATTCAGAAGCTCAAGGCAGGCCTTGCACCCTAGAACTAGATTATCAATATCTCCATGGTTTGGTAGTCTATGTTGAAACTCTGAGTCTTGTTCTTATTTGTTTGTTTAACTTTTATAATAAGTTTTTGTCCTCGTCAATGAGAAGGAAAGAACTCGTATTATCATTTTAACATTCTGTATCGCGTAGTTACTAAAGTTGGATGGGAGCAGTCCAGCTGAGATACAGGTTTCTTAATGAATCAGTTTATATAAGAAGTCATCAAAGCACATTCCAAGCATTTTTGAAATTTTTGTAATAAGAATATTATAATAAATAAGAACGATATTTGAAAAATCTTGTTTTGTTTATATTGAATAATAATTTATTGTTATTGAAAAAGTACACAATTCCTTTGTATTTATAGACAAAACAATTTCATAATTCTATTAATATAAGGAAACTAAATTCTTAAAAGAAATAAACTAAAATCATAATCTAAAAGAAATTAGAAATCATATTCTAATCAATAAAAAAAGAAATCATATTCTAATCAAAATATTAGAATAAAAAGATAAAACTTATTACAGCTAAATATTTTATTATAAATATATAATTCTAATCCTATTTAAAATAAAATTGTCCTACATCAATTTCACTAAAATATTATCGATGTATAGAATTACTGCACTGCACAATGCATAGCCCTTGTTTGGTCGGGTTAAAATCTGATTTTAATCCAAGTCAAAGTCAAACAATCAATATTAACCACATCTTTCATGAGTTCTACAACTTTTCAACCACGCATTTCAAAAACTTCTATCACAATCTACTAAAAATCAAATTTTAATATCCGCCAAACACCCTCATAGTATAAACCATTAAAGTTACAAATTATAGTAATATCATATCAATCATGTCCTCAACTATACCTAATCATACTTTCAAACCATGTTTTAAGAAACACAATAATTTGAGAAATATGTACAAAAATAATATTTCTCCCCTTTTCAATCTCACTTGGTGCCATTGAGGACCTATCCGACTTCATTTAGGGCCACCTCCGTAATTTCCGTGCTACCTAGGTCACATATGTTTCTCTATTTGACGTGGCACAACCAGGACATCAACTTGACTTGGCATGATGGCTCGAACTTGGTCAAATCAAAGTCCAAATAGAGAGCTTTAGTACAAAAACTATTCCAAGCGTAAGTAACATGAGCAGCCCAAAAAAATCTCAACATGACAACTCATCTTAGAGTGAGAGTATGTGTTTGCAAACCTTGGAAAATGTCTCAATCCCGTGAAAAATGTTATTCATCGTCACCGAAGTTCAGTGAAAAGCATTTCTAAAGACATTGTAGCGAATGGAATTTATGAGAGAGAGTGGGAGAGGATGTAATCAATTTCTTGAGAGACAGAGGAACGAGAGAGTGAAGACTTGATGTTATAAAATTTGGGAAGTTGAAAGGCTTACTTTATTTTCTTTCTTTTTTCTAATTAAATAATTAATGACAAGTAATTTATGGGTCCACGCCATATGTACACTACATTACCGTTGATTGATAAGCACCATTTATGAATAGCAATACACCTACTTAAATGGAGCTTGTTCTTAATCATTTCTTTGCACCTATTAGAGTGTTGTGCTATAGTGCTCAAACTCAAATTTTCGTGATGTATACTAAGTGAGTACAAAAGGATGTCAAAGTCTAACCGAAGGACACTGTCTACTACCTTTCAAAATGGGATAGATCAAATTCCAAAAGTGGCTACTTAAATAGGAGCTTAAAGAGCCCTCTTTTCAAAACAGAGATCCCGACTAATATAAATTACAAAAATGTAAAAGTAATTTGCATGGTTTGACACTTAGCTTGAATACACATGATGACCATAACAACTTTACTGAACCAAAGGGTTCAAATGAGTAGAATGTTCTTTCAACATCCTATTAAACACCAGACAACACGTGTATACGAATATTTATCCCTTTTGGAGCCCTGTGAAAACCGACCATGGGACTTTGGATTTGCTAACACTTTCCTGCAATGAACGGGCTGAGTGCAATTAATAGTTACTTTATTGTTGGAGGGATTCCATATGCTATAATGAAAACACAAACTTTATGTTGAAATTTGGGGGCTTCAATCAACCAAAACCGAGCTCAGATTAAACCAAATCAAACACCACACTAACACCCAAGAACCTCCAAAACTGACACCACCCATTCACCGGTTGCTTCAACAATAATCAGCCCACAAAGGAC